TTATTTGATCAAGGTTAAAATAGATATGTTGTTATCTCTGGTAAACCTTAATGGACTTTTGCTGATCAGGACTGAAATGACAAAGCTTAAGGATTTGTTTATAAGATAAGAGATGAGATATGGGAGGAAGAGATCATTTGTTTTATTTTAAGAGAAGGTGGTAAGTTACTAACATTGTTTATACTTGTGATGAAGGGGGAATCATTTCTGTATATATTTCTTTTCTTTTTCTCTACTATATTCTTATTTTTTCTTTCTTTTCTATTTTTCTATTTTTTTCTGCACCTATTTTTTTCTTTTTCTTTTAGTTTGTATTAGTTTTTATCTTTGCAATTATAATTTTTAATAAAATCACCATTAATTTTTTTTTAAAAAAAGAATCTTGCCTGATTGTACTTGACATCCCTTTTTTCTTATACCCCAGTGAATCAGGAAGAAGCCTTTCTGAATCATTTCCAAATACCATCTTGCTTTCCAGGACTTAAAGAATATTTCTGACAAGATCATCTTCCTTACTCTCTACACCATATAAGAATTCTTGATCTTTGGCAAAAGCTGAATTTCTATCCTCTGATTTTGAAAGATAAATTTCCCTCATTCCAAAGCATACACAGGATAAGAAATTACTCCATTGTGGCTTCTCTTTAGATTTCAAAAGCACAGCGACTTAATGATGGTGCTAAACTGCTGGTAAGACAAAGCATCTTTGACAGAGATCATCAATATGATTGGAGTAAAGATCAGTCTGTTTGGGTGCACTGATCTAGAGCAAAAGACCACCAAGGTACTTAAATCAGCTCATTGTACCGAAATATTGTAGGATGATATTATTAGCACCTCTTAATGCACTCCATTTGGCAGTCTCCCAGGGAAATTATATAAATTTATCAGACGGGCTATGTTCATATGGCTTCAAGGTAATTGAAAAAAAAATGGCTTATATTCTACTCTGTTGTAATACTATCAGGATACTCATTTAGAGTACGTATTTCCTTCTCTAACGAGGTTGGCCTGATACATTTTATATTACTTCCCCTTTATCTGACCATGATGAAATCACTCGAAAAGTTTCAGTAATGTTGAACTCATTTGGTATTGGTCAGAAGGATCACTAGCAATATTAATTAAGTCTACTCATGTATTCTGTTGTTATTGATGTCTGATACATGAATGTATGTATGCATATATGTATTTATTCATATTTTTATATACGTTGGACCAAAATAAAATTTGATTTCATACAAACACATTAATTTACACATTCATCTTCAAAACAAGATTATAGACTCATCTTGAAAAGAGGAAACGCTGAAATGTCTGAATGTCTTCCAATTTATAATTCCACAAAAGACAAAAGGGATATTGTATTATAAAATATATAGTAAATTAATCAGTTAAAAATGTCTAACATGACAGGGGTCTCTCCACAGGAAATGTATCATATGTAAAGCATTTCCCAGAACTGATGCCTTAAGAACATAACAACCTATTACAGGAAGTACGTTTGGGCTTTCAAAGCAGAAAACACAGAACATCACCAATGGTACAGAGGTGTCTCTTAGTGCTTACTTTAATTCCTAGATTTAATCATGCAATCTCAACCCAATTTTATGTATTTTTTTTTACATAATGCATCCCAAATATCTTTTTATTTGTTCAGTAAAGCACTTCTTAACTCTATAATGGATAAATAGATTATAAATATTTTAGCAGCATATACTTAAGGTTGTCAAGCCTTTCTTCAATAGAATCAATGTTTTATTTGTTGAACTTACACAAGCCTTCTTTTTTAAAAAAAATGTGGACAGAAGTCATTCCAAAAGCAACAAACATAATGCCATTTTACAACTGTACAGGTTACAACGGTTCAATAATAATTTCATGTCTAAAATCAGTTAACATTTGCTGACTACTGCTGGTTCACGCATTCTTTGACCAACAGGACAAAAGGCATTTTTATGTCATCACATTCTGATTTAATTTTATTCTCAGCGCCTATTAATAATGTTGTTATAAATATCAGTCGTCTTAGAAGTACAAAGAAAATATGAATTATGTAAAAATGATAAGAATATAGAAGATATATTTTTACAAGGAAATACCGTATCCTAAAATGTGGGGATGGGGGAATTAGAATAAATATAATATAATCACCTGGCCAAATCCATGCAAGTATCAGTCAGACTGGTTGAAGAATTGAAGTACTCTCTGCTAGCAGCCAAAACTAATTCAATGCTTTTCTCATAGCTGATTCTGTATTGCAATTTTCCTTTAGAAACAACACTAACAGGGGGATCTATTGACCAAATACTGCAATGCATCATTTGCCCAGCTAAGTGGATGTTCTCCAGCAGGCTTGAACATAGAAGACTTTCGGTAAAAATCTACAAAATAAGACACAGTCAGTATCATAGAATATTTTTTTATGCTTGCTAAACTCTTAAACATAGAGACTGAAATAGATACATACTTAGCTTTCAGGTACATGTAATCAATATAATTATGTTTTAAGAAATATTTTTAAAACAATCTGATGTGCACATTGTTCATTACTTATTTAAAAGATGTATATGGTTGCTCACATTATACAACATAACCCTGGGAGGCTCACTGCGACAACATAGAAAAATAACAAAATATAAAAAAATTAAAACAACTGCACATAACCAAGGCACCATAACAATCCTACCCCAAATATACATGTGCTGAACTCAACTCCCATCCTGGCCCAATGCCTGGGGGAACAGCCAGCAAGATTGTTGGCACCCCTCCAAGGTAGACCAAACTTGGAAACCAAAGACACACAAGCTAATACTACTTTTATTATAGGGTTATAGTAACACAATCTTGCAAGTCTGAATGTGCTTCCCCCCTCCCTCCCTTTAACTTCATGAGAACTAGGGTGGGTCATGTCTGAGAGGCTTTCTCAAATTACATTTCTGCCCTGGACTCAGATTTCTTTTATTTGACTG